TCCAGTCCAGGCAGCTCAAAGCCGCCGAGCGGAACTACCCTGTCCATGACAAGGAGCTCCTGGCAATGAAATATGCCCTTGTGAAGTTCCGTGTTCACCTTCTGGGCTCTACGCCCTTTGTGATCTACACAGACCACGCGTCCTTGAGGACGGCGACTAACTCGCCTCACCTCTCCCAACGGATGGCGAGGTGGCTGTCCTTCTTCGCGGAATATAACTTCCGCGTCGAGTACAAGCCGGGCAAGCTCAACGTGCTTGCGGACGCCCTCTCTAGGCGTCCCGACTATGAGTTGGCCCACATCACGCGGGTGACAACGGATCTATATGATCGGATACGCATGGCGTATCGGGACGATGAGGCTGTCGCGCCTATCGTCAAGTTCCTTAAGGCCGGAACGAGCGCGAAGTCCGACTGGCTCTCGTCGCGACAGCGCTCACGGCTCCACCGATATGAGTTGAAGGAGGGCCTCCTCTATTATCGGGTAGAGCCCACTGATCCTCCACGGGTGGTCGTACCCAACGACGAGGATCTGAAGTTCGACATCCTCGCGGAGGCGCATGACGCGCCCTCCAGCGGCCACTTGGGCCGCGAGAAGACCTTTCTGTCGGTCTCTCAGTCCTTCTGGTGGACCCACATGTACAAGTGGGTCGCCCGGTACGTCAAGACATGTGAAACATGTCAGCGGGTTAAACCCGCAGGGCACTCTTCGGCTCCACTACAGAGCCTGCCCGTACCGGCTGATTGTTGGAAGTCGATGAGTCTTGACTTCATCTTTGGGCTTTCCGCCGACGGACACGGCAACACCGGAATTTTGGTGTTCGTGTGTCGGCTGAGCAAGATGGTACATCTTGCTCCAGTTCCCGTCACTGTGACGGGCGAACAAACCGCAAGGTTGTTCGTCGATGGCGTGTTCCGCTATCACGGTCTCCCGGAGACGATTGTCTCGGACCGAGACCCGCGGTTCACTGCTGCGTTTTGGAAAACGCTGTTCCCTTTACTGGGAACTCGTCTGCAGATGTCCACTGCGGATCATCCGCAGACAGACGGCCAAACAGAGCGCGTCAATCGAGTGCTCGAGGACACTCTGCGCAGTGTGTGCGCGGCAGCGCCACGTACGTGGTCGACGCAGCTTCCAGTTGTTGAGTTTGCGCTCAACAACGCGGTGCACGCGTCCACGGGGTTCACGCCGTTCTACTTGAACGGCTTCCGCCACCCCAGAGTGCCTCTCACTCTTCGAGGAAACACTGACTCCTCTATTCTAAGTGGGGGAGAGGCTCGGAAAGCCCTTTCCTCCCAGGTCTCGGATGTGAGGCCAGTTTCGCTGCGGAAACAGGTGGAATCCTTTATGGATACCAAGCTGAACATTGTCAGCAGGGTCCGCGATGCCATGGCAGCGGCCCAGGATAGACAAAAGGAGTACTCAGACAAACATGGAAGAGGAAACTTAAGTGTATTTAAAGTGGGGGACTTAGTGCTATTAGACACGAGGAACCTACCGCTAGACACTGTCAGCTCTGTCGGCAGCAACAAGCTGAAGCACCGCTTCATCGGACCTTTTGCAGTCCTGGCCAGACATGGTGCGTCGTACACCATCGACCTTCCAAAGTCAATGACGACGCACCCGACGTTCTATGTCGGACGTCTTAAGCGGTACTTTGACCCGCAGGGGGTTGCTGACTCGCAGACCCCCCTTGACCCAGCTCCTCGAAGCGAGGGCCGGTCACAGTCGTCGACGAGGGCGTCGGAGCAGGCACCCAAGCCTCGGTCGGGACGGCAAGGCTGCGGTCAAGACCGTACGCCGGAGGGGCTCCATACGAACGGACCCCGGCGCCATACGCCGAGTACGCTGAGTACGCCGGGTACGCACCATACGCGTACGTCTGGGAGTGTGCCGCAGGCGGCTCCGGACGTGGCAACAAAGCCTCGATCCGTCGGATCATGCGAAAGGCCTCGTCCAGATCGGACGAAGAGACCCGGCGGTCCACCCGCAGGTGCAGGCTCGCGACCTCTCGCTCCACCAGGTCCAGGCGACCCGCAAGACGAGCGAGCTCGCCCTGATTCCCGGCCTGGGCGGCAGCATTACCGCCAGTCCCAAGGCCAAGTGCAATCTCAAGCACGAGGAGACGTTGACGGAGGCGGTCAACCTCAGGGTCCCGTGTCGGACCCGCAGTCGGAGCACTCGAACGAGAGTGGCTCTCGGGAGGCGCCGAGTACTCGTACTCGTACGAGGGCACCTCCGCCCCTGCTTGACCGGAATGGAGAAGTCCACTTCCACGTGGAGCGGATCCTCCAGGAGCAACGGTGTCGCGGGAAGCGACAGCTCCTCGTGAAGTGGAGGGGTTATGCCCACTCCGAGAACTCGTGGGAGCCGATTGAACGGCTCCTGATTGACTGCCCGAAGGCTGTCGCAATCTGGGAACAGAAGCGGCGGCAGCTTCATAAGTAGTCCGGGGCTTCTTGCCCGAACGGGGTACGGATGATGAATACATACCGTACCCGCGCTCATCGTGAGCGCTAGAAGCCGCGCGCTTCAGGATGTCCCTTGGCAGCATACGCTTGCTGATCAAGTGGGCAAACCTCACACGAAGATCACGCTGGTCCAGGATGTGGGACAGCTGCTGATCTTCATGGAGTTCCCATAACTCCGTGGGCGAGTACTTGAGAGTCTCCACCCACGCCCAGAACATGTCCTCACAAGAACTCCATGTGGGACAGTTCTCGGGCATAACCCAGGGGTATCCCCAAACAGGATAGAGACCACCCCGGGTCTCGGGCTTCTTACGACAAGTCGTGAAGTCCTTAAGGGGAATGCGGTGTGGCGCGAGAAGCACACACCGAGCAGCCTCCACGTTGTCGACGAACAACTGTTCTTTCTGAACAAGGGCTCGTTCATAGATGCCCCTAGAAGTGTGGCCGCCCACAAGGCCACGAGGAGCGACAAGAAGCTCTAAGAAGAGGTCAGCCCCAGAGCTCTCCTCGGGAGGCCAATACCCTCTTGAGTTGATGGCAGCTCCCTGGCTGACGGGTGCCGCCACCGAACACCCACGCACACGCTGGGCAGCTTGGAAATCCTCCTGCTGCTGGTCGAGGTCATTCGAGACCTCCCGGGGCTCAACAATGGCACCCTCCTCTTCCTCTTCTTCCTCCTTCTCCTCCTCTTCATCCGAGGAGCCGAAGAGACTCTGATAGGAGCGTCGAGTCTCCTTCTCCTCGCGGAGTGGAGACTTAGAGGCGGTACGCTTCTTTGAGGGCTTGGCGCCTTCGGCTTTAGAGGCCTTAGCGCGCGCAAGACCCTCGGCAAGCGAGAGACGTTTGCGAGGACTCCCTTCCTCATCGCCACCGGCTTTGGGAGTGCCCTTAGCCTTAACGGCCGGACTCTCAGAGCGCACAGAGGTCCTGGGACTGTGATCACCGTGATCACTAGCGGACGACTGCACGCTGTCTTCTTTGTGCTCACTGGGCACTGGGCTGTGCCCTCCCACAGAGCCCGCAGGAGCATCATGAGTGCTCTCGAACTCGGCATCGTCCTCACTGCCCGAGTTGAACTCATGTTCTACGAACCGAGGGTTCGGACGATTGTCTGAAGACGAGGGCGACGGACTGCGGCGCCTGCTTGCGCGCTTGTCCGCAGCCGCGTCACCCGAGGATCCGATCGCCTCGGAGGCCACCTGAGTAGCCTCCTTGAGTGCAGAGCCTTTGCCGTGAGGCTTAGTGCTCTTGGCCTGCGCCTTACCGGCTGCAGCCTTGGAGCGTGTCTTAGCACCGCTCTTAGCAGTGCCACGAGGCATGTTAACGGTCGAAGTGGAGACCTTGACGAAGAGCGCACAGGTTGCTGCTCGAGGCTCTAACTGTAAAGTGAGCCTCCGCCGCGCTCGCGCGGCCGAGTCGATGGTTTTCGACTTTGAGAATGAGAGTTTGTGACGAACATCTCTTCATTCTGATTGGTCGGTAAACCGAACCTAAGTGGGGGAGGATGTAACGGGGTACGTAGCACTAAGTGTACCCTGGTTACATGAAGTGTGACACTTCACACTTCAGGAGTATGACATGTCATACTCCGGGATATTTGGTACAAGGTACCAAGGTCATTCAAAACCAACCATTGGTTAAATGACATTGCATTTCTATAGGTAACTGATAGTTTGTATTAACCACAAACTTAACCTACCTATAAATATACTCAGTTTACAATCTACCTTATTTAGGTCACTTCGCTCTCTTTAATTAAAGAGGGGACCTGTGAACTGCCGTTCACTGAGAGTTTGTATACTCTCGGAAGATAACTTCCTCTAGCGCAAGGTGCTGTGTGACCCCGTCACATTGCACAACTGAACCTTTATCTAGTCGGGGTCAGTCGGGCATCCGTCGGGTTGGGTCGGGCAATGTAGCCTGACTCTTTCACACCCAGTCGGGCTAGATAACGAGTGCCAATCTCTTTTCAGTAAGCTAATTCAGCCAATCATATTATTGTTTTGTCAGATTTCGACCAAAGGACCTCAGTCAGCACAATTAGTTCAGTGCACAACAGCATGTACCATGGTAGTCCGCGTCCACACGCTTCATCTGCCTTGAGAGGCGACGCAGAGGCCTTCAGGTAGCAACAGCCCTTTGTCCATACACCACACTAACACCCCAATTACCAACCATGTATAATACATTTACATTTACATTCAGTGACAGCTCGACGGACTTCCGGAGTCTACAGACACCGCAGAGTGTTCCGTATCTCACAATCTCCAAGGTCTCCGATCCCCCAGAAGCAAACGAGCAGCTGCAATGGACACACGAAGGCGAGACTTATACACTGCAGAGACAACAGCCACAAGCCCCTTCGTCTCGTCCACAGAGAGACCAAATCCTGTCCACAGCCACATTATTGGCCTTGAGTTATTTCGTTATTGGCAATGGACCAGAAGGAGGAGAAGCAGTAATAGTAGCTGCCGGACCACTGCCTGGTCTCGTAGCGCTCGTAGTATTCCCTTTAGTATATTTCATCCCGATGGGGTTCTTACTTACGGAATTGGTGAGCGCCATCCCGGAAGCTGGAGGACACGCGTATTGGGTCGCTCTGGCGTTCGGACCGGCGTGGGGACTACAAGCCGGTTTTTGGGCGTGGGTGGGGAACTGCATGCACTGTGCGGCGTACGTGTCGCTTGGAGTTAATGTCGTTTATCGAGTGGCGGGGTGGGACAACATGCCGGTGTTGGAGTACACACTGCGAGCAGGTATTAGCATGCTTCTGTCGCTAGCAAGCTTCTTTCAGCTGCGGGTTGTGGGATACGCTGCTGGATCACTTATGGTGTTGATCCTAGTGCCGTTTCTGGTAAGTAATTAACTCCAACATGTACAATTATCGATAGCTAACGGTGTTTCGGCGCAGTTGATCGCAGTCTGGAGCGCCGTGAGAGCAGAACACTGGGACGAATTGGGTGAGATACCTGATGCCACGATGAAAGCCCAGAGCACGCACATCGGGTATGGGAATCTAGTGACAGCGCTGGCGTGGAACTTCAACGGCTACCAGAACCTGTCGGTCTTCGCGAAATGTGTGCGAGATCCGCCTCAGACATTCCGTCGCGTCATGCTCATATCGCTGGCGCTCATCCCGCTGTCGTATCTCGTGCCGGTTGTTCCTGTTATTGCACTACGTGAACCAGACTGGACAACGTGGATAGGATCGAGTTCAGCTATCTACAATGCCGGCAAATACCTGGGTGGCTCCATGTGCACGGTCTGGATCACAGTGTTGTCCTTACTGTGCGACGCTGGACTCTACATCGGCAGTCTACTCTGCAGCGTTTTCCTGGCTTGTGGCATGGCCGAGAAGGACTTTGCGCCATTCTCTCTCCGCTTCTCAGGAATGGCACGGCCCAGCGTTCACGGCATCGACCACAGCGTCATCTTCTGCAGTCTCGCCATCATCCTCATAGTCGTGACCACGACGATCGAAGACATGATTCTCATTTCCAACGCCTTGTCCGGACTGGAAACCATGGCACTTATCGCAGCTGCAGTCAGACTCCGCGTGACGATGCCCGATCTTCCTCGCTCGACTTATTTATGTGGGTCGTCACACCTGGTGCTCCTGACAGCATCGCTATTGGTACCATTTACGGTTTCAGCGTTTGTGGTGATCTGGGCCTTCACAGAGCTCATTCCAGCCGTGCTGACGGGCGTTTTCCTCTTCAGTGGCATCATCTACGGCCTCCAATCCGACCTCAAGGACTTTCAGCACACGTACGAATCCATACATGAACGTACAAGGAACTAATAAGCAAAGAGCGAGTGTCTGGTAAGCTCAAAAAGTCGATTTGCTACCAATTTGGACGAAGAATTAATCAAAACTCAAACCGTCTTACGTTTCTTGCGCGTGGAGCGACGCACTGGACGCTCCTCTGCATCGTTGTCACCTTCGAGCTCCTTCTTTTCGACGTTTACCGCTTCATATTTCGCAGACGGATTTGTCTTTGTCTTCGTCGCTGCCTTCTCCTTCATCTTCTGCAGCTCCGTCGCCGTACGAGTGAACACAAACGTCTCATCACTCGACGCCGAGCTTGCGTACTTGTATCCTTCCAGGTCAAAACCGGTAATACCTTCCACCGAGTCCACGCGGTTCTGGATCAGGTATCTGCACATGAGACCTCGGGCACGTTTCGCGTACACGGACTTGATCTTGCCGTCGTCCTTGAACACACAGTCGACCACCGAAATACCGGCAGCTTTCAGTGCCGAAGACGGTAAACTCTTGAAATACTCCTGCGACGCCACGTTAACCAGAATTCTGGGTAACTTGACGTCTTCTTTAGCCTCCTCCTCCTTGAACAGAGCGTCCAACTCGGACACAATTGTGTCCCCCCAGAACTCGTACAGGTCTTTTCCCCTTTTGTTCTCAAACTTTTGACCCATTTCCAGGCGATACGGTTGGATCAAGTCCAGAGGGCGCAAGACTCCATAGAGACCACACAAGATGCGGAGGTGGGTCTGGGAGAACTCGAGGTCCGTCTCCGACAGACTTTGAGCCTCCAAACCCTGATATGCAGGGCCATTGAGCGCTAGCGCTGCCTGTTTTAGGGTTCCACTGGGGCTTGTTGCCTCTGTCGCTGTTTTTGACACGTCGAAAGCTTGAAATCTGTCCAAATTGAGCTTGGCCAGCGCGTCACTTACTCCTAATAAGGACTTGACTTTAACCTGCGAAAGCTTCTGCAGCTGCTCGACCAACTCGTGCGCATCCGAGAGAAGGCGTGGCTGCGAGCATTGCGAGACCCGCGAGGCGGATAGGTCCAGCGTCTTTGCTGGAGACAACACGTACACTAGGCGTGCAGAAGGCATGGAGTGTCTTCAAAATCAATTAAATTCGCACGTACTTAGCATTTTGAACAACCTCGTTTCTACCGAAAAAAAAAGCTGTCGCAAGAGAACTATATTCTAATTGAGGAGATTTTAAAATCTTTAAAGACGTTTTTCATGAAAAAAAAGTTTTTTAAACAGATTTTAATCGCATTCTTAGTAGGAATGATCTTTTTCCTCATAAAGGGCCCGGTCGCGATAAGCCTTACGATAAGATCTCGTAGAACTTACCGCTGGACTTACCGCTGGAGATGCTCTTAAGCGAAAAATCGTACTTACGTAAAAAATAATCGTACCGATGGAGAAAGTGGTAAATTCATGCTTTTATGTTTCGTCTTTGGGCCGCTGATTGATAATAATTGGATGCCAACGACAAAAAGACGGTAGCGATGTTTCTCATCACTAATCAGCTAACGCTAATTTGTTTTTTTGGTCTTAAGATTTACAGAAAGTATCAGGAAGTACCCATTATAAACCTATACAGGTCAAAACGATCAAAACAACGTTATTTGCTGGTGCAATTTCTGTGCCTTCTCCCATCGTTTCTAAGCAGCCCGAAATTCGCATCAAAAACAACTAAAACTTACTTTGAAGTACAAAGCTACACAAAGTGCTCCTCGAAGTTCGCGTGTACTCCCAATGCCGAACTTTCACGTTTCCCTTTCGCAATGTAAAAATGATGTAAATGTTGATTTTAAGGCTCAAAGAAGCACATAGTCATCGTCGTCATCCTCTCCTGTACCAGCTGCACCTGTACTTGAAAGCTCATCGTCGCCTGACAGGCAGTCGGCCATGAGCAGGTCACCATCACTTGCCGAGTAGTCTGGGCGGCGTGCGGCAACTGAGAACGGGCACATTCCACCCTCCTCTTTTACTTCATCATGAAGAATCCGTACGCGACGCTCGAAATCTTCATAGTCGACACGATTTTCACATAGAAATCCCAGTGCCAGCGACGGATCGATGGTGGTCACATTCATCACGAGTGGGCGCGAGGAGTGCACCGTGCGCAAATGTGTCTGTTCAAATAAAACCCACAATCGGTCAGCTTTCGACACTTTAAAACCCAAAAATATAATCAGGAGGCTCGAACCGCAGTGGGGAAGGCAGTATTAAGTTCCGGCGCAGGGTGGACGTCGTGTGGGTCCAGGAGATGTAGCTGGTCCTGTTGCGTGCCCACAAAGTAGACTGAGTGGCCCTTCTTGCCGCCAATAATACCGACACTCTGCGGGAATGCAAACGACTTTTGGATGGCCGGTACGTAGCGTTCATTGACCTGATCCAGTCCAAGTCTCAGCGGGATCAAGATGAGCAGTGCCGTGCTCCAGTCACTCTTATCCTCGGTCGTAGGAGGATGTAGCAGTGGGTCAAAGAACTCCGGCGCGTCGTCGCCCTTCACTGCCTTCTCCACTGTCTCCTGTTCAATATGCGAGACACAGAGCTTCGCCACATCATCGCTGTACACCACTCCTTCCTGTGGCACATACATGGACAGTTCTCCTCCAAACTCGCGTCTGTGTAAGTTCACCAAGTCTCGCAGCACCTGAGCTGCCGTCGTGGGGCCGTACCACTCGCCCGGAAGCTTGTCGTACTGCACGCCTAGCTTCACCATTTGGTGGATTGAGTACCGACACTCAACGTCGGGCGAATCTGCAAACCACCGCAGCAACTGGACGTAAGTCTCGGGCAGTCGAGCGTCAATCTCAGTCTCAAATAGAGCGGGGAGACGCCAGTCTCGCCCCAAAAGACGGCGTTGTAGTGCCTGTCCCAGTAGCATCTGAGCCGACCGCAACATGCAGCCCCAACCGGCGTCACTCGTGTGCTCGTACGGTGTCATGGCAGGGTAGTCGCGACGGTAAGTGAACCACAGGATGGACTCGAAGCTGCGCTTGTACGCATCAAAGTCGACGGCTGCTACATCGTCATAGCGTTTACCTAGTAGCCACACAGGAGCACTAAGCGCTGCCGACGGCGTCACGTCGAGCGCCGAGATACCGTGTGCGAATTGCGCCATACGGCCCAAGAGACCTCCGCCCAGTTCCCACGCAGCCTGACCGAGCACGTTGTAGAGCGCGCTGGGATCCAGCGTGGAGAGAGACGTCGCAATTGATGCTGAAGACGACGCGCTACACGACGAAGGTGTTTGCGGCGTCAACGGAGAGATACACGCGCGAGAAGACTGACGTGTCGGGTTCAATATCGAAGAATAGGCAGAGAAGGTCTGATAACCCCTTGATTGTGTAAAGAACACCATAGCTCAGAAGAGTACCGATTTTTACCTGGAATGGGAAAATGGGTAAAAGTAACAGCGGAAACCCAACATTTTAAAATGTAACAATTTAGTGTACTCAAAATATATTTTGCGTTTTGGTCCCGTGAATACCGGTTTCCTCCACTCTTTTCTGACATTACTGACAACGTTGTACCCCAGCAAAATTTGTTAGAATGGGAACGAAATAAGATGCAACATCGTCAAATTCCAAGTGACTTTGCCCCGAAGGCCTCGATTATACGGACAAAAATTGAGCGCGGCAACTCTGTCTGATATGGTAGAATCGCAGCAAAGTTCGGACACGATGATTGTAGCATCAAATATTACAATAGCAATGGGCCTATCGAATGTATTGAAGCTACACTTTAAGCCAATGAGCGCGCTTCAGATATTTGTGTTTTTTGGTTCGGACATATTGTGTCCGATCAACTTCAAATATTTTAAATGTCCACCAAAACTATGTCATTCTAATATTTCCAAAATATCGCGTCTTTTCAGACAATTAAACGATTTAGAGAGGGTGTGTGGAATGGCAGATTATACATCCCTACCAGTGATATATCGATGATGTAAACGAAGGTTCTGATCCCTGGGAAGTCGTAGCGAGCGAGACTGACCGCACTTAAAGTGTTTAAGCAATTTGCTGTGTCACAAGAGACGACAGTGAAACAAATATGCTCATTTGTAAAGGCCCATGACGCTGGTAGTGCTCTGTATACCGCATTAGACAGGTTTACGATGTATTTGGCTTTCCAGGAAACGATAAAGGGATCTCTGTTGTCCAAGGATACTGTGCCTAGCTACGTTGGTTTGCTAAGAACCATCTTCTGGAGCTGCTCCCGGTTCAAGGCAGTCTTGCAGGACAAATATTGCTTCTATTCTGGACGAGTACTGTGCTAAACGAGGCACCGAGTTCACGCAACAAGCACCACCTTGCACAAAAAAGATAAAAAAGCGCAAGTCACAGCGGTGTACAAGTTCGTGGAGACGGATGATGACTACAAGGATGCAGGCCTTATCAGCATGTTGTGGTATCTACTGGGTAGGTACTGTGACACGGCCTGCCTCGTTAAAAGTCAAGTGGCGGTTTACCATGATAATTGTACCTAATATCTGTAAGTCTTGTGATATATATCTGATTTATGCTTTGATATGCAACGAATATGTGTTTGTTTATACATTTATTTCAAGCGAATGAAGTCTGCATCGTACCAGGGTGCTTCTCTCTTTTACGATTTAGGAACTTCATCATGTGTCCGGTGCACGCGTTGGCAACAATAATGCAGACAGCCCCCCAGTGAATTCCTACTGGACCAGGTGCCACAAGACGCTGATTCAACCGAGATAACATCTGTCACTACAAGACCTCTCCTCGAGCTACTCGAATCACTCGATCAAACTACGGTGGATAGTGGAGCTCAATGCGAGTTCCATAACGAGCGGACTGGAACTATTGCAGTACCCGGTATACAGGCATTTGTCAACCGACTTCTGCACAAGTGGGTTGGCGTATGCTTAGCAGGAAGTGCTAGCGTTACACAAGGTTACCCTTAGCACTCGTTCAGGCGTGGAGCAGCGCAGAATGTAAGCGACAACGACAGTGTCATGGATTTTGGATCGTGGTGGTTGGAGTTTGACGTCTATTAGTAAGGCGTTTGACTACCTTGTCAGTACGCCGCAAGACGATCAATAAGTTGGTAAGGTTATGTCGGGATGGGACTCGGAAACCGAGCCCTGCTTACCTACGCTTCAAGCAATTGAACCTATTGTACTACGAAAGGCTCACCAGCTGCAACACAGTCTCTTTTCATGTGCGTTTGGTTTCACCGAAACGCTCAACCTTCGCGACGATGTGCTAGAGGTGCTTACAGCCGTTGCGATTCTTCATTACCAAGATATGCAAAAATCTCGCACCTCGAGGTCCCTACATCATTAGATTTAGAAGATCACTTGATGAATCGAGTATCACCGAATCAAATATTTCTAGCTATGCACTAACCATCCAAAGCGACTTGGTAAAGAAAAGAAGACGCCCTGGCATCACAAAGCCGGACACTGTACCAACAGTCGACCACGTAGTTGACAAGCACACGGCTCTTATTCAACAGCAAACGAGTTTGATTGAAAAACGCTCTGCGCAAATTGACCAGTTAAGGCAGCGTGTCACGTCGCTAGAGGAGCCCACAGTGAAACCACCGCGAATCAACAATATCCTGCCCAACTGTGACGAATCTTCTGTACAATCATCGGCTAAGAAAGCGACACCAGCCAGACGCTCTCGTGCGAAATTTCTATCTGCTATGTGGTACGAGTAGTTCGCTAACCTATCCGTGACGCGAAGTCAAAACAGGAGACGTTATCACGCGGCGAGAGTTGTAGTTGCGTTTATGCGTCTACGCTTACCTGGAGGATACGACGTAACGGGATAGACATGATGATTTGGCCAAGACTCGTCTACGGAGGCTAGACAGGATGCGGAAGAGCGGATCCCTGCTTTCCTGAAGGCAAACCATTTACAAACAAAGTCATACGGGCCTGTGGTCAAGATTCTAAAGAAGATGCACACACAGGGAAAGCTGAGCGATTACATTGTGCAGTACCAAACTTGATGTGCTAAATGTCTTGTAGTGAATGCATCTCCTGATTCTGCGATGTATAAACGCCTCCCAAAGCATGCACACCAAACAGTGTGAGTAAGGTGAGTGTGGCGACGGGGAACATCAAGCTTTAGCAATGCATTACTAAAGCACAAAGCAAAATGATTTGGCTAATTGTAGTAAAAGCTTTCAGCGTTAGGAATTTTACTGGACTCTTTGTTTGACCTATCCATCGCTTTCATCTGATCATGTTAGCCCCCCGTCCGTCATCGTAGTCCTTGTGTACAGATGTTACGCAGTGACCGTTGTACGCTGTCTACTGCTGGTCCCGAGGGCACCACTTCCCCGGAGCCACTGCACCGCACACGCCGCCCGTCGTCCGCTGTTTGCTGCTGGTCCCGAGGGGCACCACTTCCCCGGAGCCGAAGTCTCACTCTGACTTCGTGTTTGATAATTGTTCACGTCAATAACACAGTCTTTTTAAATATTCCACTTTAAATGTTAGAGGCTGTCCGAATTTTCAAAAAGTATCCGAACCTGCACGGTATGACCCGACGCCAATTTGAATGATATTCAAATTTTACTTGATTATACTATCGAATTCGACGACTTTCGTTCTTAACTTAAGGACAAAAACTCTCCGGGAAGTCATTTCGGACACCTTATGGCACAGCAGCTCATGCAATAACGCGTAGGTTTAACGAAGAGCTGCTAGTATGGTGGTAGAGAGCTAATACAGGGATATATTTCTATCCCACATTCACAGGACATCTACTAGAACTGAGGCCATCAGCTTTAGGTCTTCTGTTTTGTCCTTATATTATTCTTGTTTAGGCTAAGACCCTTCCCAGCCGGTGCGTCAAGTGACGCTGCGAGACGACCACGGAAAAATACGCACCACCTAAAAATACGCCCTGCGACAAATCCATCGATCTGGTCCGATACTAAAAACAATTTGCAATTTGTCCAATCAGGTGTGGAAACGATTTTTTTTTCAAATCAGGAACCTTATGCGAACTTTTCACGATATAATATTGGGGACCCGGGTGTAGGTACTGGCGGGGTTCGCAGCTCTCAGCTTGCGCAGTCAGGAATCGATAGTGGCATGGCTTTCGGCAAACTACAATATCAGTATAATCGTCCACAATACTATTAATAACACTTGAGTATTATATGCGAGTCGATGAGAAAAACTACTATAGTTGTGTTACTATACTATGGGACTATTTCTATTGCCAAACGCCTAAAAATCTAGACAATAACGGCCCTCGTTTGTATATTTGGTCCATCTAGGATAACGAGGACAACGACCATCTAAAGGGCTAGGCTAAAACAGAATAACGAAAAGGCTTTAAATGCACAGAATCTCCAATTGTTGGCCTACAGGGCCAGCTGTCCATACGACGTCTTGGATTTCTAATAAAAGACAGAATGGCCACTCAATAGGCCAGACGAAACGACTGGTGCTCGCAATATAAAAAAATCTCTTAAAGCGGTTCTATTACTAGCCGCTCAGTAGTAAGTAGCTACTATAGCAGTAGTGGTTGTCTTTGCTCGGCAAACTACTTTCTGTTAAAGTAGTTTAGAAGCAATTATGTATTAATTAGTTCCAAGATAGTACTATATGTCAAAACTATTGTCAATCCCTGCCGCAGTACTGATAAAACGTCGTTTTTACTTGCAGCCTATACCGGCTCCAAATTATGTTTACTTTAAATCTAGAAGCTGACTACCGTCTTACCGCGTACTAGACGCCTAGGCGTTCTAATGTAATAGAACGCCTACTGGGCGGTGTATTCCTGTAGTACGCCTAGGCGGAATAATTCGAGGGAGTATCTCAAATGAGACGAACGCGATCACCTAGGTGGTTTAAATGAGGGAAAAGGAAAATCGAGATGAGCACGACTTCACCAGCACTGATAATGTATTATAGATGAAAGCCGTTAACCTCGAGAAAGTAGTAATGACCGATTCGAGCCATACAAATGGTTTTAACTGGGTCGTCGACGCTGTACGCGAATGCTTCGACAACACGGCAATCCTCGTCCAGAGTTTTCACTTCAATATTGCAACGATGCTTGCGAACGGCGGCAAACAACTCAAGCTCGCCGCCTGGAATCTCTCCATCTTGTAGCGCCTTCAAAT